ATTATCATTATCTGTTTTCCATTATAACACTGAGAAATTAAGATGGAAAAGAAAGTGTGACATATGCCAGATTACCACAGGCACCAAATCCCAAACCAAATATGAATTTGTAAGGCCATGTCTGCTTAACTGTAACTGTGCTGATTAGCTCCAAACAGGGTTGGAGGAGATAGTTTGCATGCAAGTGTTCAGAGCAACATATTATCTTGGATTGAAGACATAAATGGTTGTTTTCAGAATGTTTGTTTTTCAAAGATACTGGCAAAATGGTATGTATATTGATGCCACTTGGCCTGTCATCCTGTATTTATTAATTTCTATTTCAGAGACAACAAAAATGTTCCCTCTTCAAACTAGCTTAACATTTTCAGACTCTGATGGGATAAACATCACTGCGTGTTGCTGTATTTTTCTATACTGTGGCACTGCACCATACTTAGTAGTAGTACAAGAAAATAGGTCCTGAGCTATGGCCCCATGGCGAGTGCACCACCTCCTTAACATTTGGCTACATTTCCTGGGGGAAAAAGTGTAGGGTCACTAGACAAAAGGAAAATACATTGGGTTTTTTTGCAGCACGTGAGCAAGTCACTTGTTATCAGACACAAGCTGTCACTACATGAACACAACAGAGCTCTGCATCCTTGATAGCCCAAGAAAGTCAGTGGAGGGGCCGAAATGGAGTTTGGCATGGGCATGAAGCTTGTTCCTGGCAGAAATGGACCTTCCAGGTTCCTGTGTGCAGTATTCCTTACTCCAAAACCAGATTGGTTTCCCCCACCCTGAGGAGTTCTCATCATCGCTCTTCTCTGTTGGGAAAAGCAGCCCTTTATTCCCATCTTTAATCACATTTTGAAACTGTGTGAGGTCCTTTCCTCTTGTGCCAGAGCTGTTCAAGGCCCTTTGAGAAGAGATTTTGCTGAAAGCCCTTTTATGAAAACTCTCATAGAAAATATCAACTAGATTTTCCCTATCTTATGGCCTGTTGACTCCTTTAAACATCTCCAGAGGATTTTTGAGGTATAACTTACTTCCTTTCATAAAATCCATGTTGACTTTTCCCTAGTATATGAAATGTATTAATGTGTTCACTTATTTGCTAAAACTTTTTCTTCTATTGTGGCTGGTACAGATTTCAGGTTTACCAACCAGTAGTTTCTGAAGTCTCATGTGAAAGAAATCCTTTTAAAAAGCTGGTGCCACATTTCCTCTATTTCAGACCTTGAGTAATCAGGAAGATTTTATGTGAGAGGTTATGCACCATTGTTAAAAATTAATTTGGTTATTTCATCTTGAATCTCTTTTTCATTCTTGCTGAATGCCACTTGCTCTTGTTCTTTGTCTGCATGTTCCACAGCATCCTTTGCCAACACACAGTCCATCCTGTGCATCCCCTCAAAGAAGGGCTCTGGCTTTCCTCTTTGCTTTCCTCCAGGGTAAGCAAAGAATTACTTTAGCCTTTCTGCTGTGAACCTAATGTCTTTCTTTCAGATCAGTGTTTCTTTCAGATGCTGATCAAGGACCCCACCAGATATCTGACAGAAAGACTGCAGGGCATCCAAAGACAAATTTACGATTCATTTTGATGATTTTTGCAAATTGTTCTTCCATTCTTTGGCCTGCTTCTTGTGCCTTTCATGTTTAATCTGTTAGATTTTCTGCTTTCCTCATTTGGGCACAGCTGCAGAGTTTCAAAGTGATACCTACTTGCTTCTAACAACCTTTTCTCTCTGCTGCTCAGTCCTGCCAGCTTTTCCTTTCTGATCCTTCTCAAGTCCTTGCTGACAAGCAGGTGTGTCCTGCACCTCCCGGCCAGGGGCCACCAACACTCTTCAGTCTGTTTGGGAGGATTTGACTCCCTTGGCTCTTCTTCAGGGGCTGTTTTCTAACAAGATCCTTTTACCCAGTTCTCTCTCTGAGGTCAGTACAATGGTGGCGAACTGTCTGGCTCCTGCTGCTCTTGCAAAGAGGTTGGATCTGGAATCTTGTGGTTTGTAACACAGAGGCTCAAATGCAGCAGTCTGAGCTAGATGGTGTGCTCTGGGTCATGCATCCTCTGAAAGGTTCTTTAAACAGCTGCTCCATGAAAGCAGTCCTTGATTGTGTCTGAAATTGCAGTCTCCCGGGCAGACCTTGAGCTGCACAGAGGTGGCTGAAGTCATCAGTAACTGTTGTAGCTTAAAGCAAAGGTGAGGGCTTCAGGTTCTAGTTTCACAAGGCCTGGGTTGGGCTAACAGCCCCCTGTCAAGACAAGAGGATAGAAGCTGCTTTCCTGCTCTGGTTTTGCTGGGTTAGCAGGTTTTGCTGGTACACCTTGCTGTCAGAGCCAGCAGAAGGACGAGGGTGAAACCTATGGCTGGGAGGAGGAGGAGAAGCCCGGGGGCGGGGGGGGGGGGTGGGCAGAATAAAGCCATCTCCTTTGGGTGTTAGCACACCATTGTTTCAGGAGTACCCGGGGGATGGGAACTGTTCTTACAACCCAACAGATTATTTCACTGTCACTTCTAAGGGTCTAGTTTTTCTTTCAGGTATCTAATTGCTGAGCCCAAAGAGGACTTTTAGCAATTACACCTATGTCTGTGTTATCTGACTAAATGGAACCCTGTGGCTGAGAGCTACTATCCTTTTCAAGAGTTATTGAATAAGCAACCTGGCCGCTCAAGGTGTCTAGGCAATGTAGGCACACCCAAGTTTTGTTGCCTGAGGGTTGAGGGACTGATGCAGCTCAAAGGGAGAAACGGGGTGAAGAGGAAGTAGCAGTGGGGCTGGCTGCAATGAAGGAGGAAGCCAGCCATCACCTTGCTGCTGCTAGAGGGCTGGAAAGCTGCCAGGGCCAGGCTGCTGGGAGCATGTCCCTGCCCTGCAGCCAAGGAGGCTCTGAAGCCTCTGGCTAAGCAGGCAGCGCAGGCATGGGGACTGTCGCTTCAGCAGTCTTGTGCCCTTGAGCCAGCCCTAATAACTGGGATTAGAAGAAAGACAATGCCTTAGGGCATCTTAGTGAAATCCGCCAGTTAAACAATCCCTGTGCAAAGGCAACAAGTGTCTAGCTGGGGTTGCACTGCTTCCGCTGATGCTGAAGGCAAAATAAGGGCCCCAGCAGAGGAAATCTGGGCTGCAGCATGGACACATTCATCATTTTTAAGATGCACTCTGTTCTTTTCCTTCTCTCTCATCTTTTTTTCTTGTGTTTGTTCCCACTATACCAATGAGGTTTTTTTTTTTACTAAACTCAAAATGTATTTGCGTGGGAGGGGTGGCTTTAAAAGTGAAATCATGTCACCATTGTTGATGATGTCAAATGACAGCACCTTACTTGGGCAAAATTCCCTTTTATTACAGATGGATTTGAGGTAAGGATTGCAATCATTGAGTCAGTGGAGTTGGCCACCTTCTCCATTAAAACCAACAGCAAGGCTTCCAGTGATGGGGAGCACTAAGTTCCCACAGCTTCCCCACACAAGCACACTCCCTGAAGCCAGGGAGATGAGTTACCTCCTGGGAGGTTACAGCCAGTGCAGAGCAGCTCTTTGCCTGTGGTGCTCCAGGGCATGCTAAGCAAAACCACCTCTGCTAGATTACACTTTCGCTTACAGAGAAAAACTAAATGTTGACATGATGTGAATGCAATCTGGATGCTGCTTCCGAACTTGCTTCTGTAAGTGCCTGTAGGAAAAGATTTGACTTGCAACACGGTTGTGTTCAACTTTTATTGTATAATAGCTGCTGCAGTAACAATGGAAAAAAAATCACCTGCCTTTGGTATTCCTCTGGCTTCTCAGACATGAAGGACTTGATTGCAGGAGCTACAGCTTCTTTTTGACTTAAATTAGATTTATGAGTATTTGGCATTACTGGGAATATAGACCTAAATCGTAAGCTGCAGCATTTTCACTTTTGCTATAGTGTGACCAACTATTACTTTTAAAATGTGTTGTCATTGTAGAGATGGAAATATCAGTCATTTACATATGCAATATTTCTATGGACTCTCTGTCAAATAAGTTGACAGGAAAGACTACTGTGCCCAGCTGCACAGAGTGGTTGTGTCACCACTACCCATGGGTACAATCTCACTCCACTTGATGTTGCCAGAAGAGCCTTTGGAGATTTTTCTCAGTCTGTTTGGGTTTGGTGCATCTTGGAATTTCATCTTGCCAATCTGCTCCTGCAGACTTTTTTTCCTCCTAATTCCATGTGGAAAAAAATATTGAGAGGGTAAGACAAGGAGAATGAGTGTTAATAGCCACAGTGCTTAGTGTGGGCCCCAGCCCATATGCTCAGCACCGGCAAGCAGAGCTCCTTCAGAAGAGCCTGCTGTTCTTCCTCTTGCTTGTCCTGGACACACAGTGAAAACCACTGAAGTACTTTCCGGAATCTACTGCCAGTATGATCTCACCGAACACTGCTGAGACCCAAACTCATCCGTCTGAGGGAATACCGCTAGGGTAATAAGTGACCGTGGGTGATACAGCCAGGGTGTGATAGGCACAGTATCACACACAAAATGAGTTCAAGGCACTTGCGTGTTGGTGTGCGCCATCCAGTTCCCAGGTAGGATGATGATGGACCTTGACACTATTCCAGTGAGTTCAGTTTCAGATCCCGGTGAAAATAAACACAACTTGGAAGACCATAAACTGCATGTGTGTGAGAGGTGCATCTCCTGTCCTGGCGTACACTGGCACAATGAGCAGTAGGCGGCATGTTTGGAATGAGAAGACCGGACACAGGAGCTGTGAGCACCAGCCCAGCCGCACTGGGGGCCGAGGGCAGGCACTGGGGGGGGGGGGGGGGGGGGGGGGGCAGGCAGGGCAGGCACTGGGGGGGCAGGCAGGGTAGGCGTTGGGGGGGAGGGGAGTCAGGCAGGAGGGGGGTCAGGCTGCCCCTCGCCCATCGCCGCCAGGCAGTGCCGCATCCCCACCAGGCCGCTCCGGGGGAGCTGCGCGGGTCGGGAAGGGACGGGCCAAGCCCCGGGGGGCGGGGGGGGGGGGGGGGGGGGCGGTGTCACAGCACGGTGCTGCCCGGTGCCCCGGAGCCGCAGCGGGCCGGGCATCCGCTCCGGCGGCGCCTCGGCTCCCGCCAGCTCCGACTATTCGCCGCCTCTCGCCTTCCTCCTCCCCTTCCTCCCGCTGCTCCCCGGGTGCCGGCGGAGGGGCAGCGAGAGGGGCTGGCGGGGCCGCGGCGGCGGCGGCTCCCGCGGGACGGCGGCCCCCCCGGCCCGGCCCCGGAGGGCGGGCGCGGGCTGCACCTGCCGGGAGGCGCCGGGCGCTCGGCGCGGCCGGGCTCGGCGGGGCCATGCCGGCAGCCACGGCGCCGGGGCTGGACGTGCCCAGGACGGACAGCGGCGTCCCCCGCGGATACGCAGGTACGGGCGCGGCCCCGACCCCGGCTTCGCGGGGTCCCTCATCGCCCCTCGCACGAGTTGCCTGCTGCGCCGCACTGGGGGGGGGGGGGGGGGGGGATGCTAGCGGGGGCAGCACTGGACCCCGGGCAGGGTGCGGGACCCACCCCCTGCGTAGGGATGCGGGGTACCCGAGGCGGGATGCGGGACCTCCCGGACAGAGATGTGTGTCCCTCCGGAAAGGGCGTGGGAATCCCGGACAGGGTTGCGTTAACCGCCCCCCCCCCCCCCCCCCCCGCTTCAGGTCCGGATCGCCCCCTCTCCAAGCAGGGCACCCTCCCCGTCCCCCTCTGTGTCCGCTCCGGGACCGGTCCCTGCGGCCGCGAAGGGCGTGCGAGCACCTCGCCCTCGCCCCGTAGCTCTCAGGAACACACAACGAGTGTCCCGGAGCAGCCTCGGGCACCGGAGGGGGCTCGGCGGGGCCCGGGCGGCGCTGAAGAGGCTTCTGCTGAGGCTGCGTTCCGGTGCCGAGGGGGGAACGGCGGCTCCCGCGGGCAGGGGCTGCGGCGGCAGCCCCCGGGGGCGCGGGGTCAGGCAGCGTGAGGGCCACCCCGGGCACCGCCAGGGGTGGGGGGGCCGAGCAGCGCTTCACACAGCAGCCCCCTCCCCAGAGCCACCTCGGCTGCCTCCCGAGCACCAGCAGCGACCTGAGGAAACAGCCCTACAGAGGGGATCGGGCGCGGGAGGGCCCGGCGGGGAGGCGGCCGGCCGCCTGGGCCTCCGGTGTGCCTTAATTGCTCGTCAATAGGAAGCGCAGCGGTTAATCGATGGGAGTTCGGGGTCGGCTCGCTTGAGGGAGTGCAGGGTGCCTCGGTGGCAAGTGGCTCCCGGCTGTGAGGGCTGCGCAAATGTGAAATTGAGGATACTTTTAAAGAGGAAAGGGGTATAGCACGTATCTTCTTGCAGCCTGTTGGAAGCTGATGGTCCTCAAAGAGAAATCATCTCAGGGCAGATGTAAATTGGCTGGGTAAAAAATGAAGATGTTGTTTTTTCAATAGAATAGGATAATACACTGAGAAGTGGAATTAGAAACCTATCAAAGCTTTTTTTTGCTTCCTTTTCTCTCTCTTCCTCCTCAGTTTTGTTATTCAGTTTGATCACATAGATCATAACATCCTTTCAAAACCTCTTCGACTCAAACGGGTCCGATTAACTTGATGGTGATGGGAGCTGCTAGGGGGTCTGGCCCTGTCACAGGCGGGATGTGCACACCCCACGGGGGCTGGCAGCCTCTGTGGGTTTCTGGGTGTGGGAGGGAGGCAGAGCCACGGCCCCCAGTGCTGCTGGCTCTGCCCACGGGAGCCCTCTGGTCTCAGCCCCCGTGAGCGCTGAAGCCAAGGAGCAAGGGCAGGTGGAAGGAGTCTGCAGGAGCTTGCTGTGGCTGCGGACGAGCTGTTTTCGGCACAGTGCTGCTCACCCAGGTTTCTCCCTACCCTACTGCAGATTGCAGGGTAGACAGGGTTTTTCCCTGGCTTCCATGAGAGCAGGGCTGAGTGCTCCTGAAATTCAGGGACCTCCTTCTCCTTCGCAGCCTGTCCCCATGTTTCCCTGTGATTTAATTTGCTCATGTGGTTCTAACAGACTTTATCAATGACCTGATTTTGTTGTGCTGATAGAAATAAGCAAATGTGTTTGGGCCAACAGTGTAGTAATGCTTTAAATTGCATCCACTAAATGCCCTTAATTGTGCATTGAATTTGAATTTAATAGAGCAGTTCATTTTAAAAATACAAAACAAGTTCTGGGAAATCTACTTAGAGAATTAACAACTCAAACACAAGTGTAGACCCTGTTGCTCTGGTTTGATGCTAATGTTACTAATTAATGACTTTTTTCTTTTGTAAAATCATGTATATTTGGCTGCTTTATTTGTTGTGTCAAATTGTCCTCTGGGCTGGGTTTGCCCACAGTTAAGGTGAGGTTTGGAAGTGGCATGTCCTGTGTTACAATCAGCCTTTCTGTTCCTGCCTAGTCTAACCCTGGCCTATGTAGATCTGTGGCAAAACCCCCAGAAATGCTGGATCCACAAAAGAAAAGTTTGACATTGAGACTGGAAATTCACCCTCAGTTAATCCCTGAGATATCTACAAACCTGGCTTCTCTCAGCCATGTCTCCAACTAGAACAACAAACTCCATTTTTTCCAAACCAGCTACACCAAAACCATGGAGCAGGAGTTCTCAGTAAGGTGCTGAATTGGCATAAAAAGGGAGTATGCAGTATCAGGGCTTGGCTATGTCTGCATGTACCTGCTGCATCTGTTGCAGGACCAGCAGAGGTGCTTGGGACACACAGGGCTTTGCCAGGCCTTTGCTAGGTGTCATGCTCCCTCGTCCCCTCTCCTCTCTTTGCCCTGCTGCTTTATGGAGGTTTGTCTTGGCCTTCACCATCTGTGCAGATTTCACCTTCGCCGAAAATCCGTTTGTTACTAGGAATGTTATTGAGTTAGGTGCTGCTGTTAAATCTGAGAGGCTTAGCTAAAATTATGACTACTTGTATAATTTTAAATTAAACTCTTGTTCAGGATGCTTAATTTAAATGCAACTATCTTATGCAGCAGTATTTGCTGGAGAGGTAACCTCTAGAGAAAGCTGATGACAAATGTTATACAGTATCTTTCATTGTATCGTGTTGTTATTGGTGATCACTTTTCATGCTGCTTTGGTTGAGTGCCCCCCTTGTAAAATTTCAGGCCATGAGCAGTAATAAAGAATTGCATGGACAAACTCCCTCACACATTCCTTTTGCAGAGGATGAAAAAAAAGATGTGGCAACATTTCCATTTGAATTAAAGCGTGAATGTGAGAGAGATTAGACAAAGTTCCTTGGCACAGTCTGATCCATGTAGCACTTAGAGGGTCTTACAGCTTCCTGAAACACAGCTGTGAAATTCAAACACCCTCTGCTTTTCTTGGTCTTGCCTGTTTTGAGGACTGGTTTCTCCCCCTGACAGTCTCCCATTGAGCAAGGAGAATGATAGCACCCTGAGCTTGAGGAGGTTCAGCAGTGCATTTGCAAAAGGAGCTGTGGGAGCCGGACTTACACTTGGGAAGGTCAGCGTGTTGCTTATATATTCTGAGTATCAGAAGGGCAAATGTGCAGAGCAGGAGCATGGGGTAGGGGAAGAGCACAGGAAACATCTTGAAGCTGAGGAGAAGCTTTCTTCAATTCAGCCTTACATTTTAAAATTATACAGATGCTTCTATGTGTTCCATATCATACAGTGGTTGTTTTGCTGTCACAGCAGCATTACAGTATTATTGCCTTTCTGCGGTAGTTTACTGTGGACAGATACTCATCGATCGTCTCTTGCCAGGCTCATTATACTTTCTGGAAAAGCCTCTGAAATTCTGAAATGCTCATGTCAGTGGTGACCTGAGCACTTTCCGGCGGGTTGCTGTCACCGGCCCAGCTGCTGCATTGCCACTGAGGTGCTGTTGCCTCTGAAGCAGCTCAACTTGTACTGGGGGCTCTTCGGGTGGAATAGGAGAAAGAGGAAGGAGTAATGAATGTGTGCCATTATTTTTAGTCTCCATGTTGCTGGCACTGGGGGCTCTGACCCTCTGTTTTTCCAGGGTGGTACCTGGGTTTTTGCTGTGATTCCTCCTTCGTTCCTCAATGCAATCCTGTAGCTCTTTCAGACCAGGTCAGCACATACTTCTATAAACATGTAGGTGCAGCTACAGAAAAAGGGACTGTAGTAAAGAAATACAGAACACAACAGAAACAGTTGTTATGCCAGGTTATAAATCAGTAAATCCCTTGCTGCTGGGTTGTTGTCTGTAGTTGTAGTTCTGCTTCGTCCATCTGCCTTCCCAAACTAGAGAATAAGAGAAGTTGCCTAAGGTAAGGTGGAATGTGCTACAGGATGCTGTGAATACTACCTCCAGACCAAGCAGTGGAAGAAATTATCTAGCAGACACCATTTAAGAGAAGAGACATGATCTCTGGCTTAGGACAGACACAAGCTGCAGTTTGCTGGAGGATGAAGAGATATCACCACGTATTTGCTTGGTTATAGTCTGGATGACTGTTAGTGGCCATGGTGGGATGTAGGTACCAGGCTGGATGTATCTCTGGCGTGCCTCAAGGTACTTGTTCTTTTGTTATGAGCAGCTTTTTCTTCTGAAGTGAGTTTCCTTGCCAGTGCAGAAACCGTGAAATCATGTCACTGAGAACTTACAGTTGCTCTTCCAGGAAAGCAAAAGCAAAGTTTTTCTTCAAAGCCAAGAGCACTGCTGCTCTGCAGAAAGGCTGCAAGGAGGTTTCTTGCCTTGTTCCTGTGATCCTGAGATGCAGCTCAGTTTTCAAGCTGAGGAAGAAAACCTTGATCCCAAATTTCTATTTCCACAGGGCAGAATGTGACACAACTTGGAATATATGGGCTTGTAATTTCTTCAGGGTTATTTCTCCTTCCTTTTTCTCCCATGAGATCAAAGTGAAGCCTTTTATTAAATAAGGTAAAATAAGTGACAATTGCAGAATTTCAGCTAATCTGTTTTATCTCCTGTACTGCAAGATGTTAATCTCAGTGCTTAGGCATTCGCACCAGGCATTGTTACTGCTTTGAGGGAGTGATTTTTGTGCTTGTCAGAAGAATCCTAGAATGGTAGAAAATAGAGAAGGAAAAGAGTTATTAGGTCTTTTGGCACAGCCTTCCATGGCACAAGATGGTCCCTACAGTATCCTCCAATACTTTGTCCTAGCTACTCTTATATTACCTACGTTATAAAGATGAATTATGTCTAGACTTCTGAATTTCAGCTAGGGAATGAAGTGAGCTGAATGTTTTGGGCCCAAAACATTGATCTATCAGAAGTCAGAAGTCAGCCTCAAAACACAGAAACAAAACCACACAAATGACAATATATAATCCAGCACTTTCTGGGTTAGTTTTGAGCAGAAATGTGGTCCATTTTCCAATTTGGCTGTTCCCACTGTGGCAGAACCAGGAAGCCTTTGGAC